TGGCTTTAAAATGTCACAGAGAGAGAATTGATTCAGCCAGGATGATTCAGTCAGGATGTCATGGAGGGAATTTGTGAGTCAGAAATTGACTCCTGACATGTTACTATTGTTGTGGTTGTTGTTAAGCAGGGGCTGGATGATCATCTTTTGGGGGAGCTTTGATTGAGGCTTCCTGCCAGGCAGAAGGGGGTTCAACTAAATGCTCTTTGGGGTCTCTTACAACTCTAGTATATTATATTATTATTACTAGGTTGGGTCCCCGGCTAGTAATAATATGGACTAACAGCTCTATCTCTCTTCGGTTTCTTTCTCCCGCAGGTGGTGGCGTATGGGCTGGACCTCTACCAGACCCGGGTCTACCCTTCCAAGCAGTTCGACGTCCTGAAGGACGACTACGACTACGTCCTGATCAGCAGCGTCCTCTTCGGCCTGGTCTTTGCCACCATGATCACCAAGCGGCTGGCCCAGGTCAAGCTGCTCAACCGGGCCTGGCGCTAACTCACCAATTTGGCCACGAGCCCCGGAGAGGCGCAAGGAAAGGCTCCTCGCTTGTGGGAAGGAAGCTGCATCCGGTTACTTGACAGTCTCAGAAGCAAAGGCGAATTCGGCATTGAGAGCCTCCGTCCTTGTCTGTTCAGGATCAGGTGCCTTTAGGGCAGACCTGGGCCAACTTCGGCCCTTTCGGATGTTTTGGACTTCAATCCGCACAATTCCTAACAGCCTCAGGCCCTTTCCTTTTCCCCCACAGCCACTTAAGCAGAGTCTAACATTGGTTATGGGCCCAGCACTCGGCTTAAACGGACGAGGGGGAAAAGGAGGCTGTTAAGAATGGTGGGAGTTGGAGTCCAAAACGCCTGGAGGGGTAGAGTTGGTCCAAACGATTCATAAGAAACAATGAATGTTACGATAACTATGGAGAAATATGGCACATGGGTCTCGCCATTCAGACTACTTTTCCCAAGGGAAGCAACACTGACTTTTGGATATTTATTTCTTTCGGCTGCACTGAAACGGTTCGGATCGAGAATTCCTCGTCGTCGTTTTCGATGTCCTGCTCTTTAAATAAGATATTGAACTGTCTTGTTAACTTTGTAATTTGGGGAACATGGGAAGCCCACCTTTAAACAACGATCCTCCACGAAATCGGTTTTGCCTTCTTGCTTTGTTTTGATTCTGCGGCATCATAATAATAATAATAATAATAATAATAATAATAATAATAATAAGTCACGTCAAGGTGATGCATGCCATACGCCAGGAAATAAGGAGAACACAAGAATGGCCATCAGATTGGGGGGAAAAATCAACATATAATAATATGTTATTAATATAATATAATTAATTTAATATGTTATAATAATATAATATTCAATTCTTTGTTTTCATTCTGTGACATTATTTATTTATTTATTTGTCGTGTCAGAGCAGCCAGTCCATTATATTACATTTCTAACAGAACAAAGCAAACAAACAGAAAAATACACAACTTGCGAGTTTGTTAGCTAGTTGACCAGTATCTGGCCACTTGGAGTGCTTCCGGTGTTGCTGCAAGAAGGTCCTCCATTGTGACATTATAGTATATTAGTATATTAATATATTATAATAATAGGTTATTAATATACTATTTATAATACATGAATTGATATAATATACAAACATATATTTCAGTATAGTAATATATAATAATAAATTATTAATATAATATAATGTGCTCAATACAATATACTAATAAATATATAATATATAATAATCATAATATATTAATATACTACTAATATATTATAATATTAATATATTATATATTACTACTACTAATAATTAATATAATTAATCTATTATAATATACTTCTGTTCTACTATAATATATTACTATATTAATATTAATATATAATGTATTAGTATTATATTAGTATATATCACAATATGTTATATTAATATTATATTATATTATATTATATTTATGTAATGGTATTTTAATATATTAATATATTAAAATACCATTACATAAATATAATATAATATAATATAATATTAATATAACATATTGTGATATATTATGTTATATTAATATATTAATGTAATGGTATTTTAATATAATATTAGAGTAATATATTAATATATAGCATATGATATATATCACAATATATTATGTTATATTAATATTATATTTATGTAATATAACATAATATATTGTGATATATATCATATTATATATTAACAATATGTTATATTAATATTATATTATATTTATGTAATGGTATTTTAATATATTAATATATTAAAATACCATTACATAAATATAATATAATATTAATATAATATATTGTGATATATTATGTTATATTAATATATTAATGTAATTATTTTAATATAATATTAATAATATATTAATATATATATATGATATATATCACAATATATTATGTTATATTAATATATATTATTAATATAACATAATATATTGTGATATATATCATATTATATATTAACAATATGTTATATTAATATTATATTATATTTATGTAATGGTATTTTAATATATTAATATATTAAAATACCATTACATAAATATAATATAATATTAATATAATATATTGTGATATATTATGTTATATTAATATATTAATGTAATGGTATTTTAATATAATATTAGAGTAATATATTAATATATAGCATGTCATATATATGTTATATTAATTATGATGGCACACCGGGAAGATCTAATGAGAAACTAAATGTGTCTGGCTATTTTCCCAGTGACCATCAGTATGCCCTAAATTACTTTAATGCCCCCAAAAATGATACTCTACAGACAAGACTAAATTAACTAAATTGAGTTTACTGAATAAACAGGGTGAAATAAAACAAGGTACAAAGGTGTAAATCTGAGGTAAAAAACAACTATAATTTCTATGAGGTAAATACTCTATAAACTCTGCGGCATGTACTATCTATTCTATATAACATTCACTATAATCTATATTCTATGGGGTAAATATAACTACTCTAAAATCTATAAACTTTGGCAAATATCTATTCTTTATTACAAATACTCTAAGGCAAATATATATTATCTATGAACTATCTATCTATAACTATCTGTCTATAAGCTTTGGCAAATACGTGATAAGGATGGCCTGTACGGACTGCAAGCCCGACCAGACACTCTTCTGGCAACTATCTATAAACTATGACCAAAAGGAATGGAGCCAAAAAGTCTTTCTGCCAAGCTCTGAGCCAGAATGGGCTGAACCAACTGAGCTCGGCCTCTAGGGGAATCCTAAACTCCTACTCGAAACTTGGCAAAATGGAACAGTCCAACAGGCAACAAGGAAATAGTACTAGGCCGAGACATCACATTAATATTATATTTATGTAATGGTATTTTAATATATTAATATAACATAATATATTGGTACATATATCATATACTATATATTAATATATTACTAATACTATATTAAAATACCATTACGTTAATATATTAATATAACATAATATATTGTGATATATATCATATAGGTAAAGGTAAAGGTAGTCCCCTGACATGAAGTCCAGTCATGTCTGACTCTGGGAGTTGGTGCTCATCTCCATTTCTGAGCCGAAGAGCCGGCGTTGTCCGTAGACACCTCCAAGGTCATGTGGCCGGCATGACCGCATGGAGCGCTGTTACCTTCCCGCCGGAGCGGTACCTATTGATCTACTCACATTTGCATGTTTTCGAACTGCTAGGTTGGCAGAAGCTAGGGCTGACAGCGGAAGCTCACGCCGCTCCCCGGAATCGAACCTGTGACTTTTTGATCAACAAGCTCAGCAGCTCAGTGCTTTAACCCACTGCGCCACCGGGGGCTCCAAATATTAATATATTACTCTAATATATTGATATATAGCATATGATATATATCACAATATATTATGTTATAAAATATATTCGATTTTTGGTTTTGGAAAGGATTCTTCCATGTCTCTAAGTGTGGCAGAGCTCAAGCTTGGCCTCAGAAATATAGATTTGGGAGCAAAAGCCATCCAAAATCTGCCAGGGAAAGCTTTGATAGTGACATGTGCACAGGACGCATGCGCAGACGCTCCTAAAGGGAGGCAAAGTCGCTGACTCACTCGGCTGCGCATGCGCCCTCTCGCGGCTTCGAAGAAACGAAACTGAATAGGTGAGGGAATGACGAAGCATTCAACACTTCCGGTACTCATTCGGCTGCCTAGCCAAAGCGGGGAGAGTGGAAAGAATGGCATGACAAAGCGTGGATCTTCGACGGGGAGCCGGAAGTGTCTCTACAAAAGCCTTACCTCTATGGAGTAAATAGTGGGGGGAAAAGGAGGTGTTGACGCCACTTCCGGTGAGGGAGAGCCAGACCGGAAGTGGCTGTGAGGCGGCAAGATGTCGGCCTCGGCGGGGCCCTCTTCGTCGTCGCCGGCTTCCCCGGAGCGGGAGCCCACCCGGTGGGAGACGGCGGTGCGGCCCTTGCTCTCCGCCTCCTACTCGGCCTTCGAGAGGCGCGAGCTCCCGCAACTCCTCGCCTCCGTGATCGAGAGGTAAGCTAGGCCTCAAAGGGGGCGGGACTTGCGCGGGAGGGGCGGGGCTTGGCTAGGCCACGCCCCTCCTTTACTCTGAGCGGATTTGAGGCCTAGCAGTCATGACAAAGCCTATGGTTGTGGTGGATTTCAAGGGATTCCCTCCCTTTTGTGGGCTTTTCTATGGCCTGGGCCAACTTGGGCCTTCCTCCAGGTGTTTTGGACTCCAACTCCCACCATTCCCCAAGTTTGCCCAGGCCTGTCATTATAGATAAGGGGATCTAATGGCAATGACAAATGACCAGCCACTGCCAGAAGGGACAGAGAGTTTCATCTATGCTGATGATCGTGCCATCACCGCTTAAGTAGGGAGCTTTGAGAGGGTTGAACAGAAGCTCTCCGAAGCTCTAGGTGCTCTCACTGCCTATTACAGGGAAAACCAGCTGATTCCTAATCCATGTAAAACACAGACATGTTCCTTTCACCTTAAGAACGGCGCAGGGTGGCCATGGCGGTGGTGGGCTTCAATCTGGGCTCCCAGAGCTGCTACATCGCGGTGGCCAGGGCCGGAGGCATCGAGACGGTGGCCAACGAGTTCAGCGATCGCTGCACCCCGTCAGTGGTGTCTTTTGGGTCCAAAAACAGAGCAATTGGAGTAGCTGCTAAGAATCAACTAATTACACATGCCAACAACACAGTATTTAATTTGAAGAGATTCCATGGGCGTGCATTTAGTGACCCTTTTGTCGAAAAGGAGAAAGAACACGTGAGCTACTGTGTGGTTCCAATGAAAAATGGAAATGTTGGAATAAAAGTAACATATATGGACGATGAGCATTTATTCAGCGTCGAGCAGATAACAGCTATGCTACTGACTAAACTGAAGGAGACTGCTGAAAATAACCTCAAAAAGCCTGTAACCTTAAGAACAGACAAGCATCCCGAGCTCTGAGGATGACCTGGGAAGGAATCCCACTGGAGCATTGCAGCGCACCCAAATACCTGGGAGTCACTCTGGACCGTGCCCTGACCTACAAGAAGCACTGCCTGAACATCAAGCAAAAAGTGGGTGCAAGAAACAATATCATACGAAAGCTGACTGGCACAATCTGGGGATCAAAACCAGACACAAGGAAGACATCTGCCATTGCGCTATGCTACTCTGCTGCTGAGTACGCATGCCCAGTGTGGAACACATCTCACCACGCTAAAACAGTGGATGTGGCTCTTAATGAGACATGCCGCATTATCACGGGGTGTCTGCGCCCTACACCACTGGAGAAATTACACTGTTTAGCCGGTATTGCACCACCTGACATCCCGGGAAGTAGCAGCCAATAGTGAAAGGACCAAGGCAGAGACATCTCCAGCTCATCCCTTGTTTGAGTATCAGCCAGCACGTCAACGACTTAAATCAAGAAATAGTTTTCTAAGATCTACAGAGACACTCGCTGGAACACCTCAGCAAGCGAGAGTCCAAAAGTGGCAGGCTCAAACCAGAACCTCAACCAATGGCTGATACCAAATGAGAGACTCCCCCCTGGGCACACAGAAGACTGGGCGACTTGGAAGGCGCTGAACAGACTGCGCTCTGGCACCACGAGATGCAGAGCCAACCTTCAGAAATGGGGCTACAAAGTGGAATCCTCGACATGCAAGTGCGGAGAAGAGCAAACCACTGACCACCTGCTGCAATGCAACCTGAGCCCTGCCACATGCACAATGGAGGACCTTCTTGCAGCAACACCAGAAGCACTCCAAGTGGCCAGATACTGGTCAAAGGACATTTAATCAACTACCAAACTCACAAATTTTGTATTCTGTATTTTGTATTTTTGTGTTTTGTCTTTTTGTTTGCTTTGTTCTGTTAGAAATGTAATATAATTGACTGGTTGCTGATTACTCGATAAATAAATAAATAAATATGGCAAGGACAGTATTTGGAGGCCTAAAAGCTTATTGTTGTCGTATGTTTCAAGGGCTTCCTTCCTTTTATGTGGTTTGCTATGTTTTCAAGCAGACCTGAGCCAACTTGGGCCTTCCTTCATATGTTTTGGACTACAACTCCCACCATTCCCCAAGTTTGCCCAGGCCTGTCATTACAGATAACGGGATCCAATGGCAAGTATAGTATTTCGAGGGCTAAAACCTCTGAACAAGCCTGGGCAAACTTGGGAATGGTTGGAGTTGTAGTCCAAAACACATGGAGGAAGGCCGATGCCTGCTTGAAAACCCCACAAAATGTATGACAATCACAAGGCTTTAGGCCTCAAAGTACTGTCATTACCATTCAATTCCCCTTATCTATAATGATCCATTAAAACAAGCCTGGGCCAACTTGGGAATTGTGGGAGTTGTAGTCCAAAGCATCTGGAGGAAGGCCGAAGCGTGCTTGAAGGGGATCCAATGGCAATGACAGTATTTGGAGGCCTAAAAGCTTGTTGTTGTCGTATGTTTTAAGGGTTTCCTTCCTTTTGTGTGGCTTGCTATGTTTTCAAGCAGGCCTGGGCCAATTTGGGCCTTCCTCCAGGTGTTTTCGACTCCCAACTCCCACCATTCCTCAAGTTTGCCCAGGCCTGTCATTACAGATAATGGGATCCAATGTCAAGGACAGTATTTGGATGCCTAAAAGCTTATTGTTGTCATACATTTCCTTTTGTGCGGTTTGCTATGTTTTCAAGGAGGCCTGGGCCAGCTTTGGCCCTTCCTCCCGATGTTTTAGACTCCAACTCCCACAATTCCCTGTTAGGAATTGTGGGAGTTAGATTCCAAAGCACCTGGAGGGCCCAAATTTTCCCAGACCTGTTTTAAAGGAGCATTATAGATAAGGGGATCCAATGGCAAGGACAGTATTTGGACGCCTAAAAGCTTATGATTGTCGTGCATTTCAAAGGATTCCTTTCCTTTTGTGGGGCTTGCGATGTTTTCAAGCAGGCCTGGGCCAACTTCAGCCTTCCTCCAGATGTTTTGGACTACAACTCCCACAATTCCAAAGTTTACCCAGGCCTGTTTTAAAGGGTCCAATGGCAATGACAGTATTTCAAAGCCTAAAAGCTTATTATTGCCATACATTTAAAGGGTTTTCCTGTGTTTGGAAGCGTGTCTGTTATTCAAGGAGCAGAAATCCTATCCCTTATTTCAAGGGTTTCCTTTATTTCAAGGCCAGAAAACATTATTATTATTTTTATTATTGTTGTTATTATTTATTAGGCCTGTTTGATCAAGAAAAAATTTGTTTCTAAAATCGATTTGTAATTGGGGTGTTTTTTTGTTTCGATATTTAAAATAATTACAAAACTTTCCAAAAAAAAGTTTTGGTATTTAAGAAATTTTGTAAATATTAACGAATTTTTAGAATATTTTTGGTATTTCTTAAGAATAATATTAAAATAATATTAAAAAATATTTTAAAATGGAAAATTAACCAAAAAATGGCCCAAATGTGGACCAAACACAGGCACGATACAGCAAATGAGAGCACACACCAACAGAAGAGTCTTTTCTTTTTTAGAATATTTTTTAAAAATAATATTAAAATAATATTAAAAAATAATATTAAAATAATATTAAAAATATTTTAAAATGGAAAATTAACCAAAAAATGGCCCAAATGTGGACCAAACACAGGCACGATACAGCAAATGAGAGCACACACCAACAGAAGAGTCTTTTCTTTTTTAGAATATTTTTTAAGAATAATATTAAAAATAATAATATTAAAAATAATATTAAAAAATATTTTAAAATGGAAAATTAACCAAAAAATGACCCAAATGTGGACCAAACACAGGCAGGAGACAGCATATTAACGAATTTTTAGAATATTTTTTTTATTTTTTAAGAATAATATTAAAAAATAATATAAAAAAATAATATTAAAAATAATATTAAAAATAATATTAAAAAATAATATTAAAAATATTTTAAAATGGAAATTAACCAAAAAATGGCCCAAATGTGGACCAAACACAGGCAAGAGACAGCAAATGAAGCAAGCAGCACTCACAGCAGCAAGGAATGAATCCAATCCCAGTTGCTAGCAGCCAAGCCAACCCAATGCAAACTCCCTCGCCCTCTGCAGCAAGCTACGGGCCGCGCGGAGCCGCTTTGAAAGGGCTCGCCGGCCAATCAAAAACAGACAGCCACGGACCCATGGTGCACTGCTTGGGAGCGCCGGATTGGCTCCCATGCACCAGCACTCCAGCAGCCTCCACCCCATTAACGAAACGAGCGGAGGCTCGTAAATACTATGGGGGCTGCTGGTTCGATATTTATAAACCCTTCCGGGTTTGGAGATTTGTTTCAATATCGCTTCGGAAATGGTAAAATTAACGAATTATTAACGAATTAACGAAACGAATCGCACAGGCCTATTATTTATGTATTGTGTCAAAAGCAGCATAAGGGTACAGTTATAATGTGTCTATAAAAGAACACAAACAAAGTTAAAATAAATGTGTTGTCGGCGGCTTTCATGGCCGGAATCACTGGGTTGCTGTGAGTTTTCCATGCTGGCCATGTTCCAGCAGCATTCTCCCCTGACGTTTTGCCCACATCTATGGCAGGCATCCTCAGTGGTCGCGGGGTGTGTATATATGTATGTGTGGAATGATGTGCAGGGTGGGAGAAAGAACTCTTGTCTCCTTGAGGCAAGTGTGAATGTTGCAATTGGCCGACTTGATTAGCCTTGCAGCTGCAAAGTCAATCAGTGAGGGTCCCTGCATAGCAGTCTGTTGGAAAGGAGGCAAGTGGACTGTGTATAAGTGGACTGTGTGCTTGATTAGCATTGACTAGCCTTACAGCTGCAAAGTCAGTCAGTGAAGGTATCTGCATAGAGGTCTGTTGGAAACAAGGCAAGTGGGATTAATATACCTGTTGAATAATGTCCAGGGTGGGAGAAAGAAGTCTTGGCTGTTGGAGGCGAGTGTGAACGTTGCAATTAGCAAGCTTGAATAGCTTTGAATAGCTTTTCAGCTTCAAGGTCTGTCTGTTTACTGCCTGGGGGAATCCTTTGTTGGGAGGTGTTAGCTGGCCCTGATTGATTCATGTCAGGAATTTCCCTGTTTTGAGTGTTGTTATTTCTTTACTGTCCTGATTTTAGAGTTTTTTTAAAAAAATAATGATAGCCAGATTGTGTTCATTTTCTTTGTTTACATTTTCAGAAAGGAGGAAACAACAAAATCAGGCTACCAGTATTAAAAAACTGTGTGAGCTCATATACAATCAGCCATTATTATTATTATTTACAGCATTTATAATAATATTTATTTATTTATTTATTTGCTGTATTTGTATACCGCCTTTTTCAGCCTATCGGCGACAAGGCGGTTTCCAACAAAACAGTATACACAGTATCATAAAACATTTTAAAGCATTTCAATTACATAAACCACAACAACAATAAAAACAACATCATTAGCGTCTCCTTATTGTCAAGCATTGTCCAGTTCCATCGTCAATCATCCATTCCTATGTCATTTATCCATATCCGTTACTGTGTTTGAGAACACTTGCTCAAACAGCCTTGTTTTGACTTGATTCTGAAACGTGAGAAGGGACGGAGCAGATCTAATCTCTCTAGGGAGGATGTTCCATAGCTGGGGGGCCACCGCTGAGAAGGCCCTGTCTCTCGTCCCCGCCAAACATACCTGAGACGAAGGCAAGACTAAGAGCTGTGCCTCCCCGGACGATCTCAAGGTCCTTGATTATTAATAATAATATTATTTATAATAATAATAATCATCATCATCATCATCACAAAATCAGGCTACCAGTATTAAAAAACTGTTTGAGCTCATATACAAACAGCCATTATTATTATTATTATTATTATTATTATTATTATTATTTACAGCATTTATAATATTTTTATTATTAATAATATTATTATTTATAATAATAATAATCACAAAAGCAGGCTACCAGTATTAAAAAACTGTTTGAGCTCATATACAGGTTCGCAGCTTGGGTGTGACCC